GAGATAGTAATATATTAACTTTCCATGATTCCAGTTGACCTCATTAAGATGTAACAACGAAAGTATCAGAAAAAGCATAAATATTTGGAGATTCCAGCTTTTATGGGTGAAATTTTCTTCGGTGCAACTCATGGGAGATATATAAGTCTTCTTATTGATGACAGGAAAATGATCTACAGTCTACAATTGTTGAGCTCTTGTTATGCTGCTTATGTCCAGGATGAAAAATGTTGTTGGTTTGCAATGTGTCAATTAATTTATACATGCCTGTGAAGTGGAAGCTCTTTTACTGAATCCCAAAAGATACTCTACTCGGTTTGTCTCTGTGATAAATTGAGTTTCAAACTGAAAGAGAAGGCCTGCAAAGTTTTCATCTTGAAAGCAGCAATATTAACTTCCATATTCGAAATTGAGTTGTATGTATCAAGATTGGAGTGGTTAAAGAGTACTTGCATTTTTATAACATCTTAGCCTTTAATGCTTTTATTATCATGTTCATAGGTTCATTCATCACCATTTTTCTTTTTATTACACAATATTATAACTCTATTCTTTCTGTTGTATACTTGTAAAGTTAATTGGAATTTATGAGGAATTCATTTCAATTGAGGAAGCTCATGGACGTCAAGTGTCGGAGAAAGGTGTTATGCAAGTTTTGTTGGATTTAAGATTTGCTACTGATATTCTCTGTGCCGGTGATTTTAGTGCGAATGAGGAGTCCGCTAAAATTCCAAAGGCAAACAGTCCTTTTAGAAGGAAGCAGGGTGTAAGGCAAACTAAATCAGTCATCAGAGAACGTATAGATGGGTTGGTAAATCGTCTTTCACAAAGACTGGATCCTATAGACTGGCTAACGTAAGTTTTTGAATCTACTAATGGACCTTTTGTTTTGATAACCTGAGTCTATTTTGAACAGTTGATTGAATGGATTGCTCAGCCTTCTTGTGATATTGATATTAGTCCTGTTGAGAAATAGCTAAGTAATCTAATGAAAAAAAAAAAAAGGCACATTGCAAAACAAATAACTGGGCATTATTTATGCTGGCAAGATTATTTGGTGAGTAATTATTTGGTTTGCATCTTTTTAGTGGGGAAAACAAGAGTTTGTGGTATGTATCATTTTAACCAAAATATTTTATGTTGCAAATAAGATAAGATACTCATGTTTCTTTTGGTTTAATTATTAATCCCGATTTATTTTCGCATTTCAGCTATGAGCCATACCTTTGGGAGAATGAGAGGCAATCATACCTGAGGCATGCTGTTGTCTTTGGGTTTTTTGTACAACTTAATCGGATGTATATGGATACTGTTCAGAAGTTGCCCACTAATTCCGAATCAAATATATTGCAGTGCTCAAGAGTACCCCGTTTCAAGTATCTTCCCATCAGGTAGTTCACTATCCTCTACAACAAATTTCTTGCTCATATGGTCCTTTTTCTTGTAGATAATTTCTACACATTAACAGAGATAACGCATATTAAAACTTCAATCTGTTATCTAGTGCACCAACATTATCTTCTAGGGGTGCAGCCAGGGCATCAGCATCCACATCTATGAATGATATATCCTTGAGAAAGTCTTGGGGAAGTTACACAAATGATGAGATATCACGAAAGATTGACATTGATGAAAACTCAAATTTAGGGATGGCAGCGCCACTTTTTAAGTCTTTCATGGAGGTAAAAATTTTATTTACCTATGTAATTTTTGGCGAATTCCATAGTCTTGGCACATTTTGTGTTGCCAGATGGCATCCCACCCAAAATTCCCTTGGACTACCAAAGTCTACTTATTCTCATGCATTGATGGTTTTAGATATATTTGAAGTGATAGGAATTTTATTCATTTTGGACATTACAGTGAAGTCTAATAGAATGAGGATGAGTAGATGGAGGCCACACTTTCTAAGAAGTTCCTATCTAAATGTTTTTAAATTAATGAAAGTGGTGTTGGTAGTGTTAAACAGCTAAACGGCGGCAACACTTTCTAGAGTCCCAGTTTAAAAGTGCTTAAAATTTATGAAATGGTGTAGGTAGTGTTAAGAAGGTACAACTTTATGAAAAACCTTCCATGATTTGGTGATAATTAAGGATCTTTTGCTCCCTGATTAAATCAATCCCATTAGCTGCCTATCTCATCATGCAAAAAAAAACCCCGCAATGACATCCCTTATGGTCTAAGATTTATTATGCTGTCTGATTCACTTATTTCAACTGCTCAAGTATCATAATTTTGAGCGGGCGCGTGATGTCAGTTAGGTTGTGTTTGGCACAGTAAATTAGAATGCAGAAGAAATTAAATATAAAATTAGAGTAGATAAACACTATGTAGATAGTGTATTAGGATGTATCAAGGTGGATAGCATTTTTTAGTTTTTAAATCAAAAGATTGTTATTTTTACTAACTTTCTTAAGCTAACTGGATAATATATAGAACGAGGAGGTGAGTTTAGGCCGGATAAGAAAGTAAGTGCAAATAACATTCTTTTGAAGAAAAAGCTTCAAATATATCCTCCTTAATCCACCCTTATCTACGTAGTACTACCTCCTCTAATTTTATGCATAATTTCTTGTACAGTATACTCTGGTGTACCAAAACTAGCCTTAATGAACAAGCAATGATTGAAGAATAAGGGTGTAGGAAAGTCTAACGCAATTATAGAATAATAAAAGTTCGTATACTGGCCTCTTCCAGTTCTTTATCACCACAAATTTGCTTGCAGGAGTAATGTTTAAGTTGATATAATATTGCCTAATGCCTAGGCGTCAAACTGAGCTCTTGAGGCATTTTTGCTTCGTGCAGTACTTTAAATTTAAGCACCTTTTTGATAAGAGGCTGCTTCTTCAGTTGACACTATCATTCTTGTGCTTCATTAGTTTGAGAACTTGTTGATGAGCAGTGATGCAAAATTCTATTTATGTTGGCTTTGGCATTGACTACATAAAATCTCAAGTTATACCCTATTTCATATGCTGTGATTTTTGTATTTGCAGCTACAACATTCTTGTATTGTTCATTAGCGATTTTATGTAGCTGTAGCTAACTGTTATTATGCTATTATATAATCTTCGGAGGCAGAAGGCCAAAAAGTGAAATTTATCTATGTCCGATAATTCTGTCTGGAAGCAGAAATAAAGTTATATCTTCAATACTTAATAATTACAAAATCTCTTTTCTTTCCCAGTCTCCCATTTTTTGGATTTATTGGCCCATAGGCTTATTTGATCAGAGAAACTGTTCATTCTCAGAGCTGTCTTCATTTCATGGACTTTGCTATATATACATCAATGTTTACACAAGGAATTACATATTGTCCACGTGGCACTCTGACATTTGTCAGTTTAAAATACATTCAACATTTTCATCCAACATTTTCCGTCCACGTCATTTTCGGTAACCGCTTATGTATCATTTTTATGTAAAATTAGCAAAATCCTTTTTTTAGTAGACTACATTAATCTGTTGACTAAGCATTGGTCATAAGAAGACCATTTCTTAAATTATTTAGGATCTTCGGTCATTCTCAGGTTGGCAGCAAATTTGGGGAGAGCACACTTAGACTGAGTTCAATACTGACAGATGGGCAAGTTGGCAGGTTTGGTGACATATTACCTGCTCAAGCTGCCGGGCTTCTTTCATCCTTCACAGCTGCCAGATCAGATTTTTGATCAGAAGGTCAAAGATGCAGTCGTTTTAGTTGATGGTAAAGCATTTCAACTATATCACTTGATGCCATATATATAATTATAAAAGTCCAATTTCCAGTCTAGGAAAGTTAACAAATGTTGGGAATGAATAGGTAGGGCAGTGTTTTGAGAATTTTATCAAATTATACATATATCAAGAAAGTCGTGGGAGGGAATTAAAAGCCATATTTTCATTTGTAAAGGACTGTTTCTTTTAAATTTTGCAGCATATACTTGCTTTAATATTGTAAGTTTTTATAGCTGTATTTCCTTAATGTTTTTTGACTTGTACATGTTATTTAATTTTTGATGAAACTAGCAATCTCAGGCGCACTTTTATGGTGGTGCAGAGACTGGGGAAGCATTGTAAAAGTGAAAAGAAAACTGCAGCAAATGAAACTGACTAGAAATTAGAAATCTGCACGAATTACACGAGCTGATGAGAAGGGGGTTGATGTTGTTGCGTATGGAGTTATTGATGACACTGATCGACTCTGCGATCGAGACAAAAGTGTTGAAACGGCCCTAAACTTGCCAAGTTTGGAGCATGGTGAATATAGAAATGGAGTGAGAATTCTCCCAGGATGACCATGAAGCATTTTTCAGCTATACAATTCTTAAATCATGAAGTGGTGAAATACATAAATCAGCAGCAATAATTCTTCTCAAACAGCGCCACGTTGGCCCTGTTTCTCTTGCATTTCTCAATGAGCAGAGGCTCCTCCTTCGACAGTCTTTTACAGATAAAGGAGCAATTGCCCTTTTTAAACTCCTAACCATCTGTAAGAAATGTCGAGGTTTGATATAATTTAGAGGGTGTTTGGTAGATATTTTTATGTAAAAATGCATTTTTGAATAGTAAATTGATGGGAAATGTGTGGTTGAAAAATAAGGAAAAGTTTTTTATTTACGTGTAATATTATTTTAATAAAGAATGTGTGGTTGAAAAGAAGAGAGAGAAAAATGCATTTTGAAAAAAATAGGTATCAAACAGGCTCTTACGTGTAAGCAAGTCAAAACAATTTTGAAAGCCTAGATACCGTTGTACTGAATGCAGTAAATTTGGCTGTCGTTTGGAGTTGTGTTATCGTCAATTCCAGTTTTTTCATTTTTTTCCAATTAATATTTTTCTTTCATAAAATTGGAATTTCCCTTGGAACGGCATGCAAATTGACATTCTATTTTTTTTTTTGGGTACATGTCAAGATACAAAGAAATTTTTTGAAAAAAAAGGTAGAACTAAAATGTAGGAATTTAATCTAGAAAAGGGGTCAGCCTGTATAAACTGAGAATAGAAAAAGAAAAAATAAATAAATAAAAAATCACTGCTGTACACTTTTGTTTGAGTGTAATAACCAATATTCATCTATATTTAATAATTTATACAAATCTAGCGAGAAATTGCCATGCCAGCACTCCATACAAGTACAACTAATCATCAGCTAGCAAGTAAATCCTAGATTCAGCTACAATCCTCGGAAATTTCTGTATGAAGCACTTGGCTCTCTTCAAGTGAACGTATGGTACAACACAGTATTAGGTGGGATTCTACAGTATAATGATCAAATGCTTAGTTTCTTTTCCTTTTTGAGCACTCAACAATTGTCCAGCCCACCTTACCAAATACGCCATTAACAGAGCACACAGCAGAGAGGCAGGAGATGGAGTGCTCCAGTCCCAAATTAGTTATAATTATTAAATCGACCAAGCCTCAGAGTCTGTGAAGAGAAAAGATGCCCAGGTGGAGCCATATTGGCATATATTTATCATCATAATTCTTGGGCATCCAAGTCAGGCTTTGAAGGATATTCAAGGCCCTGAAGAGCAGGTATCCGCCGGAAATCTTCTTCTGAGTATGCCGGAATAAACCAGTACATCTTGTCCATCCCAAACACCTAATACTCAAAAGGAGATACATCAATTGAAGAGTATCTTAAAAAGGAGCAAAATAAAACATGATTTAGACATTATTGATTACCAATCAAGCCCACAAAGAAGGAACAAAGCCTAAGAAATTTACAAGATTACCATCTGGAGAAAGTGATCAGAATAATAAATGAATATAGAAGTTTAATTTAACTATATGCCTATGCCAATGCTGAACACCTGCCTACAAATATGCAGTTAGACAACTCAAAAATACTACTTATTCAGTTGACACTTGTTGCGGTCTCAAGAATGACCAAAGACTAAGAGACACATCATATGAAGATACCAGCTTCGTATAATGAGATTATCGATCTGCTTGAATGCTCTTTGGGTTCCTTTTCTAGTTCATAAGTGCATCAGCACGTCTCTTGTACGATATATGCATATATGTATACAAATGCGTACCAAAAACCTTCACTTTCTAGATTTGGGACATATATGTTAGGGATTATAGAATTCAAGATTTTATTATTAGTCTACTTTACCCTTCAACCTTACTGATTCAACTGAAAACAATCACTTATCATATGCCTTCTCAATCATCATTTTTCATGTTTTTTAATCTTCCTATCTTTTCACTTGGAGATAATATCACCAGATTAGATATTATGGATGAATTTTGGCTTGACAACAGCTATTACCTTAATGACAACATGATAGAGTAGCCCTACTTTCCAATCTAACCAGAGGAACATGTTGTGGAAATTAAAGTATGCTTAGGAGAAAAGTGGGGTCCACCTGTGAGAGAAGAAGTCAAATATGACGGCTGGAATAGTGAAATAACAGTAAAAAAATCAATTTTTTGAGTGAAAAAATCAGGCCCAAACAGGCCCTTAGTGTCTCTTGCCAATTTATGTACAACTTAGTTTCCTCAACTAAGTAAAACATACATACTCGCATAAACAGTGCTTAGCTATTTTTTTGAGGCACCTAAGAACAGACAAGAACAATAACAAGTACTTCTTGATATTTGTTGAGTCATGAACCACAGGACAGACTCAATCACCATTAAAGCAATACTTACATATGAAAAAGTTAATACTTTAATCCATTTAAAGTGAAACTAACCTGTTCAAAGTTCCTTTTCCTTCCAAGATCATAACGCCACTTTGGAGTAGTCTTCTTCTCATAAGCCTGAATACAAATCAATAAAAACATCAGCTATCAACAGTCCTACTTCGACTGAACATTTTTTTTCCTGGGAGAAGGAAGAAATGGCTTTGACTAGGTTAATCAGCTAAGAACATTTAAATTCAGCCTCTCCCCTCTCCCTCCTCTTCACTAAAGCACTACCTATGTCCAAGGTGTCTCAAGCATGTTAAGAGCATTCTGAGGAGAAGACAGAAGAAACAGATGGTAAAAGGCAAAAGTTTTGTCAAATTAGGCAAAGGCCACATAAACCTAAAGAATATACTCTATTAGACTGCACCAAAAACAAATACAACAGAATTTCATTCCGCAGGGCTACACTCTGGGGGCCTGAGGGTGATGATGATATTGACAATTTGTAAACTCTATTTGAAGGACGTACTCCACATTCAAATTAAATTATCAAACTCAATACAAGTATCATACCTCAATGGTTGTGGTATTTGCAGCCACCAGTGAAATGTGCATTATCAGAAATCCCATAACACTTAAAGCAAATGCCAAGTTCAAAACTGTTAAACAGAGAGAGATTATGAATTAGATAAAAGGCCAGGTGCCAGGAACATAAAAAGGGTACTGGGGAGGGAAAAAGGTTGTAGCATGGAGATGCGGGAGCATTTGACCTTACCAAAGGCAAGAAAAGTAGTTGCCGGAGTCCTTTGAGTCTCAGGAATCTCTTCATCACTAAAGAAACCAATAAAATGTGGCAGTAATGATAAAGTCACAAGAGTAGTCTCGAGGAACGTGTAGAACTGCAACAACAACAAAAATTATCAAATATTTATTAATATTTTGTTAATGTGTTTTTAATATCAAGCCCAAAAAAATAATTTGAACTCCCAGAGTACGTTCGAATTCAATTTCAAACTATGTCAACCAGGAAGTGGAAGTAAATGAAGAACAAGAAAATATCACACAAATTGTAAAGATTCACCTCAATGTAAATAGCACAGAAGCGGAAGTTGAATCTTGTAAAAAACAAGAAAAAGATAAAAAGAGCTCAAAAATATTATCTAAAATAACTTGGATGGTAATGAATATGAATTGTGATTACAACAAGTCTAGCTCTCCTCTTATTTAGGCATTGGAAGAAGTGGTAATCAAGCTCTCTTCTTATTTGGGCATTGTAAGAAGAGGTAATACCCCAATTCTAATAGACTAAGTAATAGAAAAGAAAGCAAAATAACTATTTCTCATAGAAATAGAAATTCTATCAACTAAATATCAACAGGGGTGTCTTCAACTGAAATTTTGTTGGATTTTAAAATTCTTTCTAAATGCAGGTGCCCCAATTGAGATTTTAATTAATTTTAATAAAATCCTTTAAACTCTAGGTACCCTCAATAACTAATGGATTTTTAAGGACTTCATTAATAGAGGGATTTTAAAAGATTCTAATGAATTTCTATCTTAAAAATACATATAACAAACTCTTTGAAATTTCACCATTATTACTGAGATTCTTATGGATTTTGTGAAATCTATTCAAATCCACGAAATTCATTAGAATTTATAATCTTTCAAAATCCATTAAAATCTCGTTTGAGGACAACCCCCTAAAACCAATCGTATCTTATTAATACTAGGTATCCTAACTACCAAAAATAATTAAAATCTCAAAACTAGTAATAATAATTGATTTATAATTGAATGAATTTAATTTTGAAATGATAAAAGGAGATGAAATGTTTCTTCGTAGTATGACAACTAGTAGAAATTAACATCTTGAAATGTTTCTTCGTAGTATGACAACTAGTAGAAATTAACATCTTCCACATACTAAAAGTAGTGTTACTCATTGACGCGTGTAAAAATAAATAAATAAAAATAAAAATTCAGATTATCCTATTTGGCATTGAGAGGCATGGTTTTTTAAATTCTTATTTCAGAAAGCTCTTGTGCTCCCATGAATTATCTTCTCTCCATTTGATTTTCTAATATTTATGTGGTTACGATGGATGAAGGGAAGAGATGTAAAAAGATGCTGAAGCAAGGGAAAGACTCAGGATCTGGTTGCCCTTTAGTAAGCCAAATGGATGAACATATAAAAGGCAGAATTCGTGAAAACAACTAGGATTGCATAATGCGGCCTCCCACAACTTAAACCCAGCAATGTTCACTAAATAGAATGAAATAGGTAACATAAAATGAGCCTGAAAGTCCCCCCCCCCCCCCCCCCCCCCCCCCCCCCCCCAACCAAATTTTTTTTTTTTTT